AATATACATATATACATTTTAATATGTTACTTAAATTTACCTGTATTTCGGTGATAATTAACATAAGAAAACTATAGTTGAATAGCTATTATTTAAGTTGACTAAGCTAATCCTTTTCGAACCGACCCGGAACTCCCGACTCTTGACTCGTAAGTAGCATTGCCAATGTGCGGGAAATTCAAATCGTTTGAGCTCGGTTGCGGTTTTCGTGGGGATTGGCGCTATGTGGGGACAATGCGGGCATTCTAGCATAGCGTCAATAGAGCCAATCAAACCAAACCCACATAGAGCCAATCCCCACAAAAACCCCAATCGACCTCAAACGATTTGAAATTCCCCACACATTGGCAACGCTGCTCGCAAGTCCACGATGCGTTAACGTGCAGAGACATGGGAGTATCGGCTACTGAGCTGGACCGAGTGGCAGTAAGGCCAAAACTTTCGACAGTCGACACTGACAGGAAACTGGCCCGCATAAATGAGGACAACCTATGCCTCTACTGAGGAGTGATCTGGTGTGATTTGTCAAGACCTGTATCCAGTTAAAGTTGCGTCGCCGATGTTCGCACAGAAGTAGGCGTTATTCGGCGGTTTTTTTTAATATACGTAGGCTTTTTTTTACGTCAGGAAATCCTCATGGATACCCTTCGACCGGGGAGGCGAGGTTTATATCGAACTTTTACCGACTTTAACCTGTCGGTGTTTCGCCCCGTCGTTTTCTGATGGAAACGCAATTGTACACTACCGCGAACCTAAACGAACACCTTGGGAGACTATTTAACGAGTCTCCCTCTACGCTCTATGCTGATGACGTACCGAAACACAATGTACGTCATCTTTCCTCGAGGACCTGTCTCTATTCGAGCATCGAATGTCCTACGCCCAATCCTCCTGAGACGGATCGAACGAAAGATCACATCATCTTCCCTCATCCGTTCCGCCGTTTCCTTAGCTCCTAACACTGCCTCGCAAAAAGCAGAAACTACTTTCTATGCCCTGTCGCTATCGACCATAGTCTTGACTACGGCCGGCAGTGACAGATCGCTTGGGTCAACTTCTAGTATCAAAAACGATCTCAAGACCGGGAGAATAATCGCACATTATGATTTTTAATGATGACCACTCAAAATCTCGTGGAAATATGTAATGTAAAACAACACAATATAATACATCGTTTTTGCTTTGTAGCAATATGTGTTTTGAGCAATTTTCAACAATAATGAAGAATGAGAGTACATTACCGAGAGCTATAGGTACACAAGTGAGGAGTGTATTACTAATTTTATTACCCGACTAAGGTGAAACCAAAGGAGGATTATGATGTCAGCCGTATATATGTGTGTTTGTAGATCCGTTCCCTCACAGAACCTAAAGTACTTAATTGATTTCAACAAACGAGGTATTGTTAGATTCGTTTGAATTGTTCGTGCCACAGAGGCTTAATTAATGTAAATAACAAAGTCAATATAGCGCCCGTGGTAGGTACTCACATAGTTATGAATGAAAATTAAAATAATTTCTAGTGTGATAGATGTCCAATTCAAGAGCTTTAACGACCATATAAAAATATTTGCATCACATGTGGAAAATGATGTAAAATATTATTTTTCAAGAAATCATTTTTGTACTATTTCGCTTCTTGTTCAAAACTATCTTCCATTAACACACAGCAGACTATACGGCCTCTTATTATCGTCTAAATTCAAAAATTATGTTCTCATCATAATTTTTTTTTATTCATGGTAAACTATAACTATATACAAATATAACTAAAATGTAAAGTAGAGTAAGTTGATGTCTTTAACACTGGAGTTGCCACAGCGAGAGGGTTACTCAGCGATTTTTTGTCTCATTCTTAGGAAAGTAACACATACATATTTTTTATTATTATTTATATATATTTTTTACACATATAATTTTATATATATGTATGTATGTGTATATATATATATATATACACATACATATATATATATATATATATATATATATATGTATATATACAAAAAATCGCTGAGTAACCCTCTCGCTGTGGCAACTCCAGTGTTAAAGACATCAACTTACTCTACTCTATTGACCAGGTTATTGATATTGTTGCAAGCTCGCAGCAGAAACGAATTCTTTCTGTAATTGGTTGAGACTACGGGTATGCCAAATATTTTGTTAACCCTAAAATTGCGTCAGGGAGTCAAAAACTTAAGTTTGTACAGTAGTTCAGGACAACCAATTGTTTTCTGAGCTATATGGATTTAATGTGAGATAAGAAGTGTTGGGTGTTGTTGGCAATTGATGACTCAGTACTATATATATATTTCTCGTATCATTCAGATTCCATGGCCACAATTCTGTCTCGTAAAATGCTTCGTCTGACCTGTTTCCGTAGACTTTGAACTTTCTTACATACTTATGCATTGCTTTAACTGCCCTCTTCGGGGGTTCAGAATACCAGGAAGGATACATTTTAGATTATATAGATTTAGAAAGTGTATTCTTATTTGTTATATTATTAATGTGGCTATAAAAGAAGTCCACAGCATTATGAAGGGGTTTTGTCGACAATTCAGTATTCCAACCAATCTCTGGTATTTAATTTTCTGAGTTGATGAGAATGTAGTTGCCTTTACTATAAAGCAGTCTATTGCGTTGAGTAGCCTTAAGACAATCAAACCATAACTATACGTTTGTTGCAGTACGGACCTCCTCTAAGCAAAAGGTTTTTGGCCACCACACTAGCCTGGTGTGGGTTGGGAGCTCGTCATCGAAGAGTTTTGTAAACTTCCAACATCCAGGTTCAATCACGTTTTCCATCACCATTAATAGCAAGTGGTAATTACTAAATTTAACAGCATATGATTCAATCATATCTAAGACCTCATAGGCCACACAACTGTATGATATAGTGTAAATACTTCAGAATAAGAATTTATAGGAAACATTTATTTATTTATTTATTGTATAAGAAATCCGACATGATACATATACAACAATAGAAATTTAAAAAACTTTAAAGGTAAGATATACACCACACTTATTGGCTAACACAGCAAGCTATACAGATTCAAGGTTATATGAAAATTAATTATTCAATTACTCTTTATAATTATAATCCCTACTTTCTTTATAGTTAAAAACAAAAACGCAAAAACAATACTATCCCTACATTAGAATGAGAATATAAATAAACGATATGTTAGAAAACAGATCATTCAGAATTTTGAATAAAATATTTTTAATTTTATTTTTAAAGATAGCTAGCAAGTCATAACTTTAAAAATATTGTTGCATTATAAGATTCATAAAATAATTTCTGAAACAATGAGACATTTGATACCAAATTAAACTCAAGGCGTCGCTAAGGAAATAAAATTTTCCAACTTTTTTAATCAGCCGTTTCGACATTGTCGGGATTTACTTTTGAATTTTATTGTTATAGAACTGCTGCGATAACAATTGTGATTTAGATAGCTGTAGTTAATTATTTTCTGAAAGAGCGTTACGTAATTAAATATCTATCATAAGCATAATCCTAAAATAAGTTTAATGGACAAAGCTTAGTAGCAGTAGAGCTCCATATGAAAGAGTTCGTAAAAGAAGGAAAGTAGAAGAGTAAAGAGGGAAATACTGCCACCTTACCAATTTCTGGCGCCAAGCAGTAATGTGAGCATTACTGCGTTCCGGTTTTGAAGGGTAATGGTACAGAGGAAATTACAGGCACATGGGACTTGTCAACTTATGTCTCAAGGTAACGGCGTAGTGGTAGTGTCCTTACGATCTTTCCGATTTAAATCTCTCAGTGGTACTGCAAGTGTTATGGACAGGCGTGTCGCTTACCACCAGGTGCACTATTTGTTCATGCCGTCACTTAGTATCATAAGTAAAAAAAATTTTGCGTGCTGGCAATATTATTAAGAAAAGGAAGTTTCTAATCAACTACAGTCCTTTTTTATTTTTATTTATTTTTATTTATTTAAACTTTATTGCACACAAAAAAGTACAAATGGCGAACTTAATGCCATTAGGCATTCTCTACCAGTTAACCAGAGAGCTGAGTACAGAACAATTAACAGGCGTTGCAAAACTTGACAACAAACAAACAAAAACGAAAGAGAAAAAAAAAAAGAAAGGAAAAAAAAAAAAGAGGAATAAAGTTAATAAACAAACAATTTGGTTAATGTATATATTATGTACATAAATATGATCATACATAAACAATAAAAATTAATTTTATACATACATAATAATAAATATATATACATAACAATAAATTATATTATAATAATATATATAACAAACATATATCCAAATGAGACTATTGTGATGCAGGTGGAGAATCTAGCATTAGATTGCGGACTAACTGCTTAAATGCGAGTTTATTTGGCGCACTTTGAATATGGGGTGGGAGAGCGTTCCAGAGTCGTATTGCCTGAAGAGTAAACGAGTTAGAGACAAAACCAGTACGGTGAGGAGGAACAGATAAATTAAATTTATTATGTGAACGCTGATCACGGGCATTGTGCACACCAAAGTATTGAAACTTACATTTCAAATACTCTGGTGCACATGGGTCTTTGAGTACGGAATAAAGCGTGGAGAGGATTCTCAGATTCCGGCGCTGACGAATCGTGAGCCATTTCAACTTGTCACGATATGCGGACACATGATCATACTTGCGAAGACAGTAAATGAACCGGATACAACTATTGAGCAACCGCTCCAATTTGTTGAGAAGTTCTTGAGTGATATCAGCATAACACACATCAGCATAATCGAAGATAGGGAAAATGGTTGCCTGAATTAGCAGAATCTTTGTTGTAATGGGAAGAAAGTGTTTGAACTGATAGAATGACCTCAAAATACCAATAATCTTCTGACTAATGCAGTCAATCTGAGGTCGCCAGCAAAAAGTAGAATCAATGTGTAGTCCCAGATTCACTACATGAGGCACGAAAACAATGGATGTGCCATCACAAGAAAGAGGCGCAACGGAGCTTATGTCCAACCTAGACAAAGCATAGGGACTACCCACGAACATGCCTTGACACTTGCTTGGATTGACACTGATGCCAAACTTCCTCGACCAGTCAGCAATACGTCGCAAATCATCATTGAGGTTACATATCGCATCATCCAAGGAGTCAAATTTTGCTTGCGCATAAATCTGTAGATCGTCAGCATACAAATGATGAGAGCTGCGGAGAATAGGAGAGATTAAATTTATAAAAACTGAAAATAATAGGGGAGAAAGAATTCCGCCTTGGGGCACGCCTGCCTCTAGATCGCACCAATTAGACAAGACGTCTTTGGCACGAACAGCTTGCTTGCGCCCCTTAAGGTATGAAGAGAACCATTCCAGTTCCAGGGCAGAGACTCGCAAAAAAGCTAGGATGGCTAGGAGTATATCATGGTCAACAGCATTAAAGGCGTTAGAGAAGTCAATGAGAACTAATGCTGTCAACCGCTAAGCCTCCATGCCCTCACGAATGTCTTCCGTAACTTTCAATAATGCCGTTGTGGTACTGTGGCCCGGCCGGAAACCTGATTGGTACTGGCCAAGGACATTGTGTCTAAAAAGGAAGGATGATAATTGGCGATGAACAACTGCTTCTAGAATTTTAGAAAGGAAAGGTAGTATTGAGATTGGCCTAAAGTGTTTAAGAACAGACGGATTATTTATTTTAGGAAGAGGCAGCACATACGCCCTGCGCCAGCTGCTAGGGAAAGTACCAGAGGAAAGGGAACAATTAATAATATGTGTGATAATCGGCAGTACACTGTCTAAACAGCAGACTATCATTTGACGACTAATGTCATCACAACCAACGGCATTTGATTTTAAAGACATTATTATTTTGCGAATCTCTGACTCTGAAACCGAAGAAAAAGAGAAAGCTTGAGAAGGTTGACTACACAAGAGAGGAATGTCATTGAGAGCATTGACCTTGCCAATACACTGAGTGCTGGCGGCCGCTGAGAAGTGATGATTGATGTCATCGAGAGTGAAAGAATGAGGAATAGCGTCATTCTGAGGCTTAAGCAGACCCACAGACTTCAAAAATTTCCAAGTTGCAGCAGGAGAAGACTGTACAAGATTGTCATGAAAGTTGCGGCGTTTTGCGGCTCTCACCATCTGATTACAGCGATTCCTACATAATTTGAAGGCAGTCCAATTTTCCTCCGACCTACACCGTTTAAACTTACGAAAAGCTCCGTCACGCCTCCTCATTGCAATACGCACTAGAGGAGTGATCCAGGGTGCAGGGGGTCTTTTCAATTTCACTAACCGTATTGGTGCGTGCTTGTCATACAAGCTCAATAAAGTGGCTCCAAAGTTTGCCACCTTCCCATCCACCGTAGAAGTTGCCAATACCCCGAACCAATCAATAGTAGACGCATCATGAGCAAGTTTATTTAATTCCAGCCCCGCAAAATTTCGCAGCTTTTTAATTTCGGAAGAACGTTTGTGAGGCTTAATTTTGTACACAACATAGAGCAAGTCATGATGAGAGAAGCTTGTCCTTTGTCATTGTAAACAAGGCAGTTAGTGGAAGTACAAGCTTACTTATCCAGGTTGACTCAAAACGCAACAACTAGGTGCGCCGTAGACAATCAGCACCTTAGGAGAGCGTTTTGCTTACGGTATGGTAATAAAATTTAGTGTACTTCAATGTCGGAACTACACAGGATACGTTACTTAAGATTTGCTAAGATCGTGCCAAATCGTGATCGACAACGATAACTATCTATGTTCTATGTCGTAGTTTAAGAGCTTTATATAATTCGTGACCGTAGTTTCTTTGTCAATAGCCTTGTGTTGACCTTATTTGTCCTTTTTAATTCGTCATACGTACACGTTATCAAATATACCACAAAAAAGTTTTAAATGAATTCATTGAAATTCGTCATATTATTTAACAATATCGCAATGAAATTGACTAAATGTTTGACTATAGTTATACGAGTAGGTTAGCATAACTAAGTGTTTATCGAACAACTAAAGTAAACATTTAATTACCTGCGTCTGTCCGAGAACGAGATATATCTAAATTTTATTACCATAATAAGTAAAGTCCTACGTAAATGTACTGTTTGCCTATGGCGCATTTAACTGTTGCGTTTTGAATTAGCCTACAAGAATTGTAGATGTTTAAAGACTTACTTCCCTTAATAGTACTGTCAATGAGTTATAATAACATGTAAAGCATACTTATCATTATTTAAGGAAGACACAAGATTATCTACTACGGCGATTACCGCAGTTTAATAAACACGCGGTAACTTTGAATGATAATAATTACGTCTGTCACTATCTATCAGACTTGTGAAGCGACGGAAAAGTATTTAAGTTCATAACAGAACTATAGTCCTTTAATCCCTGTTAGTCATTTTCTTACTTTTATATAAAAAGCGCGTCGACCGTTAGAGCGATGCCACACATGTGCTGCCCCGGTGCATTGCGTCGTCGCGCAGTGGATCCAAATTGATAATTCTTGGAAATCGGAATAACTTGTGGAGTATCGAGCTGATTTTTTTCATATGATAAATAACAACATTCCTGATAATTTCTATTCTTATGTAATTTCTTGAAAAGCTGATTGTTTCAGAGAAAAAAATTTTTAGTTTTTTTTTTGTTTGGAGAAATAAACATTTTATTTTTTATCTCGAAATGTAGAAAATTGTAATGTGTGTAGTTTATTTACAGTATAAGTCCTATCATTCTCTGTCAAGAAAAATATAATCCATCTGTAGGTATTTGCGGCTTTACGAGTAAAAAGGTGGCAAAATTTTAGATTTGTTATTTATTTTTTAACACGATATACTAGTTTCTACTTAACTTTCGTGTTATTGTTATAACATTCTTAACTAAAGTTAATTTTTATTTAGTGATAGCACATGTATTTTGTTAAAAAGTACATAATAAGTTAGCAATTTTGCCGTGCCTTTACTTACATATAAAGCCGCAAGTACAAGCAGATGGATTATTTTTTTCTACACTGAAAATGATTGGAACTATACTGTAAGTAACCCACGCACATTACATTTTCGTACATTTTGAGATAAGTAATATTTTTTCTCCGAAACTATAAACTTTTCAAGAAATTATACAAGAATAAAAGTTGTTAGGTTAGGTTAGCTCGATACTCCACAAGTTATTCCTATGTCCAAGAATTATCAATTTGGGCCCACTGTGCGTCGTTGCAACGCAACGCAAAGTACCACACGACCGATACGGTGTCACAACGCAACGCCGCTTACTTAGTGCGATGCCAGACGTTGCCACAACTCTCTTTCTGCTGCATAACAATGATATGTTAATTCCTGGTGCCTCTGGGTATGCAGATGACAGCACAGTCGTGGACAGGAAACTTGGTCAATGGGTCAAAGGATCAATAGAGAAGTCTTGTCGAGAGTTGAATTTGACAATCTAGGCAGTCTCCGATTGGGGCGCCATGATGGGATGCCAATCTTATCAAACTTAATGCTACCAAAACGCAGGCGTGTCTATTCTCCACAAAACGGAAACCCTTTCATCTGACTCCGATTTTTCGTGATATATCCATACCGCTAGCCGACCATCTCCAGCTACTTGAAATGGACCTGCCGTCCAATCTCAACTTCGGCAGATACATTGAATCCATGGTCAAAAATGCAGCCAGGAAGCTTGGCATCCTTTCCAAGGTGAGGTATTACTTTACACTGGGACAGTTGCTTCAGCTATACCAAGCACAAGTCCGGTCGTGTATGCAGTACTGCTGTCACTTATGGGATGACTCTGTTAAATACCAACTGGCCACCTTGGACTCAATCGACTAACGTGTCAATAGGCTTATAGGTGACTCGGAATTAGTAGAGGCGAAGCTGCAGAACCTTAAACACCGCTGTAAAGTTGCCTGTTTATCCGCCTTTCCATTATCAGGGGACTAGGCGTAGGCTGGGATTCCACCCCTATGTTGTGGATATTTCAAGGATTCGCACGAAGCGATTCGCTTCCACATTTATATGGCGAACGGCTATGGAGTGGAATTTCCTGCCTGCAGACTTGTCCCCTGAAAGTAATAACTTGGACCTTTTCAAGGCGAGAGTGAATAGGCATTATTTAGGTATGCATGCTACATCGTCGACCTCATCGTCACTGTCCACCAGGTGAGATGGAGGTCAAATGCGCACTTACTTTTTTTTTAAATTAGAACTATACATATGTCACAAGGAGACAAAGCTTGATGACACACACTGCAGCACCCCTCCTGCGCCGTGCATGTGCACGCGTTCCGTCGCCACGCGCCGTTTCAACCAAACATGTAGCATGTAAAGAGTTCGTCCTGGGAAGCACTGCCACCTTACCTTATTTCTGCCGTCAAGCAGTAATGTTAGCATTACTGTGTTCTGGTTTTGATGGGTAAGATTGCTGGTGAAATTACAGGCACATGGGACTTGTCAACTTATGTCTCAGGGTGACAGACGCAGTGGCAGTGAAATTCAGATCTTTGCGATTTAAAGCTCTGAGTGGCATTGCAACTGTTATGGATACGTGTGTAGCTTATCACCAGGCACACAACTCGTTCGTCTCAAGTGACAACTTAATATTATAAAAAAAAGTAGTTCTAATGTATATGTAATACAACGCAGCGTCATTTTCAGGCGTCGCAGGGCCGACACAGCGTATTGTGTAGCATAGCTCTTACTGGCCGTACCTATGTATCTTCTTGTTCGTTACTGTTGTTAAATGAGCAAGAGTAGTTGGAAGGAAGCACATCGCCTTATGCAAAGACAAGTGATCAAGACGCGTTTAAAATTTTAAGCAATCTGCTTTTTTCACTAAAACAGGTCAAGAATTGAAGACTTAATGAAACGGGGGTAAATGAAACGGCAACGTGTAGTTTCAGCGCTCAAATATGTGGTTGTAACTCTCGCGACTATGAAAGGAAATCACGGTCACAGACAAGTCAGGACATGTGTCGTGAAAGTAGTGACATTGTTTCTGGTAAATCTGGTTTCAGAACGACCGACCTAAAAACATTTTTATAAAGTAGTTATGTTGAGTTAGAGACCTCCAAGCAAACATGATTTCCAAACACGATTTCCAAATAAAACATTACAAAAAGCATTATGTCCTTTACCATAATGGCATATTTAAAGGATGTAATTCATTACTAAGCAAATTTTGTGATCTATATCGGTAAGCTCGTGACGAAATCTTCAAGTATGTAGTACTACAAGCACTAGTTAGGTACTTGTCACAAACAAATTAACCACATTAATACACTGAATACAAACGTATGTTAAAATTTTATTGAAGATATGTTATTATGTTGCATAGGTACAACGTCAGACGTTTATGTACGAGTAAAATATAATAAATGTAAGCAAATGATAAATTTATGTATTATTAATTAATCAACACATTAGACGATGCTTTTGCACTTACTGATACAATTGTTTTTTTTCCATAAAACTATAATTGCTTTTCAATTAGTTGTTGATATGTTATTTAGAAGTACAGACTAAATGCATTTTAGGTAGGTACGTGACGTGGAAATACTAATACATATGTAATGTAATTGCATATTACACTGATAAGATAATTTTTGTCACAATTATAATTAAAGAACTTTATTGTGTGTCTCAACTACTTAGCCTTGGTGGAAATACCAACGCAGAGCTGGCTGACAACCTTCCCTAGTTGGGAAGACACCGAAAAAAAAATGTGTATTGATCGAAGTAAATTTTAAAAATATACTTAATCGAATATCTTATAACGCTGTTATAGTGTATTTTTAAAATAAACTTCGTGTTCCTTACGATACAAACAAACAATGAATAACAAAGATCCGATATCAAGATTTGATGCCAAAATCACATCTCACAGGAAATCACAAAAATTGACAGTTGAAAATCATGTCCGGTTACTTGTTAAGATCATATCCGGACATTCTAAATTGATTTGTTCGGTTTAAAAGTAACAACACTAAAGGTAAGGCTGTTCTTATTTTTGAATTATTTGAAGTAATTGTAATCGAGAAATGCATTTACGTGTCAGTTGGTATCAATGACAATGATAAGGTTTTTTTTTGGAAATGAATGAACAATACATTTGAATAGTACAATTCCTGATCGTATTAACAGGTTCCTAATATACTATACACCTCGTTTATCACACACACGGAATTCAAAACGTTTTATAAACATTAGCCGATATGTAATTAATCCGAACTAAAGATGATTTATCACATCATAATAATTTAAGCTCCTCCTCTTAATAAATATATCGACATAACTGGTTCCCATTTTATTATAAGACCACTTAGGGACTTGTGTCGGCTGATATTTCGCAATTAACATGCGGCATTCCGACGGTTTTGCCATTTTTACCATAATTCCCTGATATATTATGTATGCTAATAGTTTTGTTTCTGAACGCCTCGGCTAAAGTCGATCGATTCAAGAGAGATACAGTTATCTATTATTTTTAAGCTTGAGCGAAATCTACCTGATTAGCAAATAACACGTATGAAATACTTTTGAATGGCAAGGCCGTTCACGCATCAAATCGTACAAAACACCAGCAAATTCATACAATTATTTAGGTGATGCAGAGATTTTTTTTATGTTTAAATAGTTATATAAGTTAACAAGACACAACTTTTTTAAATTGTGACTGTCTTACAACAAAATATTAATTTTTGACCAATAAGCAATTGTTATGCATGGTTTACGACGTCCATTCACCGGAACGGATGCTATTGAGACGTCACTCTATTTTCATATACGACTTTAAAACCAAATATTGAAAGTTGACAAATATTAAACGTACTTGTTCCGTGTTTCCTGCGGTCCGCTATTAGCGGCAGGCTGTTCGGTTTCTGGAGGAGCTCCTGTAGTTCTGGAGGCGACTCCTCCTCCCTTTTTGACTTCATCTTAGCGTCTTTCACTTGCACTTAAGTCTAGCACAAACAAAGATTCATTTAAAGAAATTAGAGTGAAACGTGCGACGTATTAGGGTAGGTGCTACGCGCTAAGTCGTTATCGGCAAGCGCGAATGCAAGAGTGCGTCAGGGCGGCGATGGCGCATGACTCTGGGGAACAAGCTCTGGTTTTATATCAGGACTTTGTAGAGGACGCGGGCAACGCACGAGGATGTGAACAGAAAGCCGCGCGGCGACTGAGCTCAGCTGCCGCACCGGTCAAGGGTACACTCGGCCGCAGCATCTCGCGCGCCGCCCGCCGCCGTCATCGGTCAACGTTGTCCGTTCCGACGTCCAACCTCAACACGCCAGTATTGTTCGTTCATCAAGGCTTCGTTGACTTAATTGCACGTTACAGTTAATTACAAAATGAAAGCACAATCATACCATTTACATTATAATCATGCAAAAAATGTTGTTTTTTTTTATTAAACTCTATTCTTAGATCGTCCTTTAAATGGCTTTATTCTAAAAATTTTATACATCATTACAATGTATAACGTTATTTCATAAATTAAAATACTTAAGTCTTTTTAATGTTTAGTTAATTTATGCTCATACGTCGTTTAACTTTACCAAAGAATATGAATAAAATAAAATTGACACTCATTATAGTTTTTTACGTATTTTAACTTTACTATAAGAGATGCGTCCCTGAAAAGTTACGAACTTGAATCCTTAGTAAATGAATAGATACCAAAACATTTTTAAATAAGGTTAACAATATATTAGTGTTATCATACTATGGTCACCGCCTTTGGAAAAAGGGCATGAAATATACCTATACACATGTGATATCAAAAAATGTACAGGTAAAAGCGTTCAAGCATGAAATGAACAAACATGGACAATATATAATCCGCCATGGTATTAGATCATAAAAGATCGTTTACATCGCAATTGTTATGTAGGTCTGAGAGACAGGTAGTCAGGGGCACGTTAATTACATGTTATCTCGTGTGACAATTAATAACTCGATCAGACATGAGGGCAACTAGATGTGTCCCTCAGACTCAGCAAAACATCTGGTAAATTGGACCAGTTTATGAGTAGTGCCTTACGGAAACACCCACACGCAAAATACTAAGAAATCCAGTTCCACGTTACTTTGTCTTGTAACATTTTCAATGTAGTAGAGCTGATTATCAAAAATTGTTTAGAAAAATTGTACATTACATATTCGCCTATTCGATAGCTTCGAGGAAATCAGCATGACTTGGAATTCCATTAAAAGCGATTAATGTGTTCCTAAAACCAGATTTGGCACTACATAAGGCACACATGATATTTTGAGTAGGTATTTAAATTACTCAGTAATACGGATGATCATTGTTACTTGGAAACTGTATATTTGTTACTTAGAAGGATTGTGAAACCCCTTCGCCAAAGCGTGATAGGTATTTCAAAAAATATTTCCTTTCTCGGAACCGTCCTTTCCTGTGCACACGTATAAAACACATACTCGTATATACAAACCGTACCACATTGCATCGAACTGCGTATGACATGCCACTGGTAACGATGCGCGATACGTGATTGAACGATGTGTATTATATTAAATACAAGTGTATTTTCTTTAGCAAAGTAAAGGGTTGGTTTACATTTAGCCAGAGATCAGAAAAAAAGTTATTTTTCCTTTAATTTGTGGTTTTTTTTTATCCCGTCCACTGCAAAATTATCGACGTGTTAAAATTGTTCACCCACGAACAGCTATATACGAATCCTGACTTTATTACGAATACAAGAGAGTAAAGCCTCAAATAGAGTAAAGTTAGGCTTCTGAAAACTCTAATTCACCTATCAACTTGAGCCTTAAATCTCAAAGAATATGTCCATAGGATAGGGAGGGTACTGTACGTGCACCCGGGGCGGCTCACCCGAGGCACTAGCCTCTCGCAAAACCGGATGAAGTCAAGTCATAGAGGTGTGTGACAACCGTGTGCACTGGCTGATCTGGGGTTAAAACCTGAACTTATAAGGTTCCTGTGAGCGCACAGGTTATAATGTCCTTCTTGTGTACCTCAAAGGTCGTTAGGGAGGGTCACTATAATCAAAACTAATGTAGAAACGGGCTGCATCCCATGAATATATTTTTCATTCATATTTAAAGATTTTCTTTTTTCGAAAAATGAGCGAATTGGCGTCCATACGGAGGACGCATCATACGATCATAGAATATTTCAATTTTAAGACCAAATGCCAAATTTTGGAATATCTTATATTTACATTTTAAGACCAAATCCCAACATGGTAACCCTAAACAAACTTCAAATATATTCGGTAAAATTCGCTGAACGTGATGTTCGCAAATGAATGAGGTACTAATATTTAGTGTGAAGTCAACACCTAGAGTCAACACCTAGTTGACATTGACACTTTGGTTTCTTCAAATTTATTTGTATTATAATATGAAATCGCCGATCTAAAATTGGTGATATTTAGGAATAAATAAAGTATAATAAGACTCATATAACAAACTTTTTTCAAATAAAATCTAAGGCTTCTGAATTCCAAATTGTTTTCGTTATTAGTTTGTTATCGTTTTAGTTCACTTTGCATTCGCTCTGAAATCAAATGAAGTTTCTGCTAAATTAGAATAATTTTTGAATACTTGTAACGACGTGTTGCTAATGCAGCACAAACGACTCGAAACTTGCCAAATATTATCAATGGACCAGACACAACTATAATAGCGAATGCTCTGTGTGTTTTTGGTTTACACTACTCCGCAGTGCAAATATAAACATAGCAAATGAACCTTGTAGATGACCAGAGCTTTAAGATAGGATTTAAGATCGCAATCTAAGGTGGAATGAGCAGCTTGGTTTGATTTTGACCGTAACCGACACTACAGACCCTTTTGCGCCAAATCTGTATAATAAGAAAACTAGAAAAATACGTACCACACTAATTGTCTGAACTAAAGCAGACAACGTGCATTGAATCGTCGATACAATGAATCGATGTAGAGATGAACGAGTTTTAGACCCTATAAATACTTGTAATAAGCTCTGTCCAAAAAAATTCTTACCCTGGAAAATTGTTGGTAAGTATTGCGTGATCCAGCAAGTGAGTATTCTGACATCTCCCTTAGACCGGATATAACCATGACAGCATGTTCTATCATGAAAAATGCGGAAAACAATGGCAAGACTCGCATATAGATAACCAGTTTTATTATAACTAACCCATACTACTATTTCTATACGTCAATGAAATGCTATCCCCCTTGTTATTTTTTTTATTTAACAAAGTATAGTTTATAGGGAAATACTTGAAACGCTAATAGGGAAGCATTGGTTAATAGCGAGCCCTAAGTAATTAAGCTCAGTTTCGGTTGATAAAAGCGAAAATTATAATCATAATTATGTAGGAAATTTATTAGGCTACACATATGGCATAGCACTATTTTCATAAACAAATTCAATAGTCAGTTATTGGTAAATTACCAAACTTGAGAGACTGCGACGCGGACCATTCATGCGATGAGCCATCGCGATAACCACCAGCCTGACGATATCACCAGCACCGTTCCGGGCACGTCTTCCTCTCGCGTTAGACCAAAAATGTGGCTAATCCAGCGCTCTTTTTTAATTTATATGTATTTTTCAAATTTTAAATAATGTTATTTTGATAGTACTATTTTTCTTTATTATTAGTTCAATACATTTGTTTGTTTAACATTCTGTATTGACATTGGAGGTATTTAAATGACGTATAGATACTTAATGAAAATTATAAATAAATGATTCATTCATCTTATTTAAGAGCTAGATTCTCGTACGTGTAGCCTTCTCCACTCCTCACGGTTCATAGCTAGTTCATTGACCTCTTTATAGCTGTTCACTTTGATCTTCTTTTTTATTTGTTCACTATACGTCATTCTCGGTCTTCTTCTTTTTCTTTTCCCTACTGTCCTCCCCTCAATTATCACTTTCACAAATTCGTCATTACGTAACAAATGTCCAAACATTTTCCCCCTTCTCCGCTCTATTGTAGTTAAAAGACTTCTCTCCTCTTCAACCCTTTCCAAAACTTCCTCATTTGTTGTCTTTTCAATCCATTTTATTTTTTACATTCGCCTCCAGCACCACATTTCAAATTACTCCAACCTCTCTCTGTCTTTTAATGTTTGTCCATGTCTCGCATCCGTACAGTGCGGTGCTCCAGACATAGGTTTTGATGAATCTTTTTTTCAATTGTATAGGTATTTTAGAGGTGAAAATGTGTTTTTTATTATGGAAAGCCTGTTTTGATATTGCGATTCTAGTCTTTATGTCAGTAGTGCATTTGGAATTTTCTGTGATAACACTTCCAAGATATTTGAAATGTGTTACCAACTCTACTGGAATGTCATTTATTTTGATGAGTGTAATTTTGGAAGGATGTCTTGCAGTTACTAACACTTTGGTCTTATGTTTGTTAATCGTCAAATTAAATTCCTTAAAAATTATGTTCATCTTATTGAGTAGGGCTTCCAATTGATTTCTGTTTTCTGTAACTACAGCTATGTCATCGGCAAATCTAACAAATAACACCCTGTGACCATTCACTCTTATATCCTCTGTAGTTGTTTCCATAATGTTTTGTGTTGCGCATTCGATAAAAATGTTGAAGATGAGAGGTGAAAGTGAACAGCCTTGTCGCACTCCTTGTCTTATTTTTGCTTTTCTACTTTCGTCTTCTATCTCTATGATAGTCTCTTGATTTTTGTATACTTCATATACAATTCTTCTATCTATATAGTCAATCCCGACCTTTTTTAATACTTCCATCATCAACCTCCAGTTCACCCTATCAAACGCTTTTTCTAAATCTATATAAGCTATATAAGTGTCTAAACTCAAGTCCAGTCTTCTGTCCACTATTTGTCTCAATGTAAAGATTGCTTCCCTGGTACCTTTGCCCTGCCTAAAACCGTATTGGTCATTTCCAACGAAAGATTCGAACCT